CTGTATTTTGAGAAAACTGTAAGACCAGAATTTGCAATAAGAAGATGACCTGCGAGATATTTCTGAATCCCTCCAACATTGATGCAAAAGAATTTGGTAATGACAAAAGGAAAATCAATAAGAAATCTGTAGAGGGAAATGTTGAAAAGGCAGTGTCATGAGAGCCAAGCCTGCTTTCAGCTGAAAAATTCAGAAATGGTGAGGCAAATTCTTCACTGTATATTTTACTGAAATGTCTCTCGACAGTAAATGTTCACAACTTATTGGGCTATGGTCTACAAAAGATGAAATACAGACATTCTAGATGTTCAGTCTATGTGTTTTGAATGCTATTTTCATGTTTTCAAATTTTAAGATGAATTTTGTCAAAGATTTTGTTTCTCACAAAATAGTACTTGATACAATCATAAATGGAAAAATGTTATATTTTAAGACTACACACACACATACACATACACACACAAACCAGAAACCAATTTGCTACTAAATGCAGAATTGGTAAGTATCTACAGAAGCATATTCAATTGCTTTCCACTTGACAAACATACATTTCCATAAATTATATTTGTTACACTGTTAGTTTTGAGCAATTTGCAGAGTTGAAATAAAGTTCAGAGAAAATGGAAAAGCACAAACCCCACATAATCAAATAACTCAGCATGACATCCTCTAAACAGTACAGTTTTTCACTCAACACACTTAAAGAGCTTTGGACCACTTAGAAATATTTCAGTTCTCAATACCACTACAACTACCACAATAAAAATTTAGGACATTTCTATTCTCTGTAAAATTTTGCATCCTTCTTAGATGTGATTCATGACATATGAGAACAAATAAGGTGTAGTTCAGCCTAAGACTGTATTTCCTGACTATGATGCATGGAGGGAAACCCCAAATGAAACGTGGCTTATCTGAATGAGACAGAGCTTGGCACAGAGAAAGCAAATCACATCAGATCTAGCAATGCATAGAAGAAAGCGTGCCATAGAACTGGAGCATCGGTGCAATAATGTGCAATTAGCTTGCTCTTCCAAATCAGTCAGTGTGATTCACCATGTGAAATCACTAAGCTTAAAAAGTAAGCCCCATGATCTGGGATTCTAGCATGATTATCATTCACTTAACAGCTACTATCCATTCAGAAGTGAGTCCAGGTAGTGTTTGTCTTTCTGGGTCTGGGTTACCTCACTCAGGATGATCTTTTCTAGTTCCATCCATTTCCTGCAAGTTTCTTGATGTCTTAGCAGCTGGCTAATACTCCATTGTGTAAATGTACCGCAATTACTTTACCCATTCTTTGTTTGAGAGACATCTAGGTTATTTCCAGTTTCTGGCTCTTATGGATAAAATCTCTATGAACATAGTTGAGCAAGTGCCTTTGTGGTAGGATGCAGCATTTTTGGGGTACATGTCCAGAAGTGGTATAGCTGAATCTTGAGGTAGATCAATTCTGTTTTCTGAGGAAGCACCATACTGATTTCCATAGTGGCTTTACAAGATTTCACTCTCACCAGCAATGAAAGAGTGTTCCTCTATTTCAAATTTTCACCAGAAGGAGCTGTCAACTTCTGTTATTGTTCTTAACCATTCTAACAGGTATAAGATAGAATCTCAAAGTAAGTTTCATTTGCATCCTTACCCTGATAGATAAAGATATCGAACACTTTTTGTTTTCTCAATCATTTGAGATCTAGGATAGGGGAAAAAATCAGTGAAATGATTCTTAATGATATTCTGCTATATTTGTAGACAAGTACCTAAGCTAATTGTCTTCACAGAGGCTTAATTCACAGCTGATGGGAGCAGATGCAGAGAGGTAAGGCCAAACAATAGGTGAAAAGAGAGCCCAAATTGGAAATAGTCATTGAATCCCTCCACTTGGAGCTCAGGAGAATCCCAGGGAAGAGGGGCAGGTGGGATTGTAGGACCCATAGGTGTTGAGGATACCAGGAGAATTATGATCCATAAAATCAACTAAGCAGTGCTCAGGGGAGCTCAGAAAGACTGAAGCAGCAATCATGGAGCCTGCATAGACCTGTGCTAATTCTTCTACACATATCTTATGGTTATTGGCTTGGTGTTTTGTATATTCCTAATAGTGGGAGTTGGTGTCTCTGACTCTTTTGTCTGCCTTAGGACTTTTTTCCCTGACTGAGTTTCCTCATCCAGCCCACATATATTTTGTGCCTACTCTTCCTGTATTTTGTTATGCAGTGTTCAGTTGATATTCCTGAGAGGCCTACTCTTTTCTGAAAGAAAATAGAAGACAAATGGATCCAGAGGAGAGGAAATGGGGGATACTAGGATGAGTAGAAAATGGGTCAGGATGTATTGTATGAGAGAAGAATAAATATGAAAAAAGTCCCATGATCATCTCAATTTAGTTAGACAGAAGCTAGAAAAATTCAAATCCTACTTCTATTTTAAAAACATTAAACAGAAATATATTGTTAGAGAACTGCAAATAAGAATCTAAATGTCCCTCTAGAATATGTCAACTTGACACAAGCTAGTCATCTAAGAAGGAGGAACTTGCAAGTCTTAGGTAATTGACAGTAACAAGGACAAATACATGAAACGATCCCTTTCTTCCCTAAATTGCATTTAGTCATGGTGTTTCATCACTGCAAGAGTGACCCTAACTAAGAAACCATGTTTTAGCAAACTATAAAATAGATAGCATCCTCAACATAATACAAAAATATTACATAATCAAAATTTATAGTTGCCATCATGTCAGTGGTGAAATACTTTTTCAAAGCAAACAAACAACTTAAATACAGTCTTCATTTCTATTCGACATTTTTGAGAAGTTCAATCCAGTGTAGATAAGTCAATAAAAGCATTCATTTTGAAAACACAAGTAGAACTTTATTTATATTGACTATCTATGGAGACTGTGTCATGAAAATAAGAGAAATGAATCAGGGTCTTGGTATATAGTTCAAGGAAAAAAACATTTTCCCAACACTTATAAGTACCTAAGCTTGTTTCTCAGAACACAACAATAAAAGAAAACAGAAAACAATAAAGTATGTAATTCAAAACAAGACATGCATGCCTCAAACTGGAAAGATCTAAACAGAAAAGTAAAAGTAAATAAAAATAGTTTACTAATAAAATAGCATACTACTACAAAGTAAAACAAGATTAATTATGGATATAAAATAAAGGTAGATAAATCTCTGATCAGTATACGTATTCCTCAAAATAATACCAACAATATGTTATGAACTCTTCATATTAAATGAAGAAAAACTCAAAGCAGTCTCAAGATGGGCAACAAAACAAGGATGTTCATTCTCCTTATTTTTACTCCAATATAGTGCTTAGTTACTTCAACCAATCAATGAAGGAAATAAAAGGGATTCAAATAAAGGCTAAACTATCTCAGTGTGCAAATGATGTGATTCTATATATAGACACCACTAAAATACTCTCAGAGCTGGTAAACATTTTCTGTAAAGTAGCAGAATAAAAATTTAACAAATTTAACAGTGGCCTTCATATATGCCAATGAGAAATACACTGAAAAAGAGATCATGGAACTGAGCTTATTAATAGTACACACACACACAAACACAAACACTCACATCCACACAAATACACACCCCTACGTAGGTTTAAACCTAGTCAAGGAAACAAAAGATCACTACAGTGAAAACTTTAAGACACTGAAGAAAGAAATAAAAATACAACGGGAGATAAAAAAAATTCCCCATGCTTATGGGTTGGAAGTATCAGTCTCATAAAAATGGCCATCACATATAAAAACAAGAAATGAAGACTCAATGCAATCCCACTAAAAAATTACAGAGTCATTCTTTATATACAAGAATACAGGCGACCATAGAGGCCAGAGCCTTTTGATTCCTTTGAAGCTGTATTACAGTTGGCCATGAACTATCTGATATAAGTGTTGGGAACAAAACTTAGGATCTCTACAAGAACAAAATGCATTTTATCCACTAAGTCATTTCTCCAGCACTGTGATATATTTTAAATGCACATTCCATCATGGATTGTTTCATAAATCGATTTTTAGTTCTCTGGGATTATTTTCTAAAGATATAAACACAGAAAAACTAATCTGCTATATTAATGATGATTAAATGGTATCTTATAGTCTTTTATATTAAGTAAATTATGATACATGGTAGGCTATTTCATGAACCTTATTTAAATCAACAACAAGTAGCAAGATACTCTAAAAAGATAATTATCTTTTCAATTTATATCCACGATTAGGCCCTGCAACATTTAGGATTTCTTATTTTTTCAAGTATACAAGTCACAAATTTTAATTATGTGCATCACATATGTAATTTGGTCCAAATACAGTTTGTGATATGAAAATAATACATTGAGCACACAAATAACTATGGTTCAAATACCTTAAATTGCTGCTAGAAAGTCTCTTTAAATTGTCAATAAAGTAGTGCTGTTTAAACTTCTAGAAGCTTCATTATACATAAAAATTTCACCAAAATTATTAGGTATACTATATTGAATCATCACATTACTTTAGTGAAAAAAATGTCAGCTCACAGACTGATTATGCCTGACTAAATCAACCCTATATAATTAAGAAAAGAAAAAGTAAATTTTTCCTTATGATACTGCCCTTTGTCAACCATCTGGGTTAAGGTTCTACTATATCTTCCAAGGACTACTGTGAATCTCCTAATAATTTCTTTATCCAAAATCTCAAATCACAGTTGTTCCCGAATTCCATCACGTTCTTTAGCAGCTTGAGTGATCTTTATCATTATCTCTTTTGCCTTTGACATTCAAAGGCTATTTCTCAGCCCTTTNTGGGTGGGATAGGAAGAGAGAGGAAGTATCGGGCAGAGTAGCCCCTGAGGATGACCAGGAAGTGTAGGAGGGGTGTCTGAGTCCCCTGTCCCGGGCTGCTGCCGCGGTCAGAAACTCACTCACCCCAGAGATGTCTCTCCTGGTGCCTGGAACGGAACTCCTTGCTGCTAGGTGTCCACTTTGTTTTATTCTTATGTACAAAGACTGACGTTCATCTTTTCCACTGGGTAGAGTCTAGAAGAATCCATTCAAGGTTGCTTAGTCCAACTTAATGAAGCCGATGTCTTTCGCGTACTGCCGGAAACACTGGCGGCACATGTTTAGCCAGTATTTCCGGATCAGACCATGGTGGTTTGAGCAGCCGCGGCAGGAGCGGGATCCCTGGCCGAACTTCCGCAGGTGACCCCAGTAGAGCTGCTGGTGACCCGTGTTGCCTCACTGATGGCCGAGGAGCCAAAAGGCAAAAATAAATATTTTAAAAAAAGAAAGTCTCTTTAAACTGTCAATAAAGTAGTGCTGTTTAAACTTCTAAAAGCTTCATTATACATAAAGATTTCACCAAAATTATTAGGTATACTATATTGAATCATCACATTACTTTATTAAAAACAAATGACAACTCACAGACTGATTATGCCTGACTAAATCAACCCTATATAATTAAGAAAAGAAAAAGTAAATTTTTCCTTATGATACTGCCCTTTGTCAACCATCTGGGTTAAGGTTCTACTATATCTTCCAAGGACTACTGTGAATCTCCTAATAATTTCTTTATCCAAAATCTCAAGTCGCTGTTGTTTCCAAATTCCATCACATTCTTTAGCAGCTTGAGTGATCTTTATCATTATCTCTTTTGCCTTTGACATTCAAAGGCTATTTCTCAGCCCTTTGGCTATTCATAGCCTCAATATTCCTTACTTCTGAGAATGAGGCCCCTTTCTCTCGTATTCATGTCTTCACACTCTCTTATGTAGAACATCTTTCTTGTTGTGGAAAATTATTTTAAGATGTGTTACATTTGTTTATGCTGTGGAACATTTGTTTTAATGATGCAAAGATGTGTTGCATTCTTTTTCTGTTGTTGCATATGTTTAACTTTGTAACGTGTCCTGGGCCCAGATGTCACCATGGCCCTAAGTAGCTATGCAGGCCACTCAGATTGGCATTGCCCTGGCTGCAAAGGGGATCTTGGATATCACCATTGCTCCAGGTGGTGATCCAGACCTTAAGCTTCTTTACAGGCCTTTCCTGGTCCCAGGTCCCATGAATATCAACAAAAACCCTGACTGAAGCTCTGGTCCATGTGTCACCATGTCCCTTGATGGCAGTGCAGGGCACTCATATCTTTATGTCCCCAGCTGGCTGGGATAAACAAACAGCCCCTCGTTGCAACAGCAGGTAGATCCCCAACTGCAGTAGGATCATAGACACAGGCACTCCTCCCTCTTCCACACCCCACTATGTCTTTACCCACCCTGACGGTGCCAGACACTGGGTGGATCCATGATCTCTTTTCCCGACAAAAAGGCTTGTGTGTGCATCTCCTCCTGCCCAGTCCTAATGCAACCTTGGACTTATGAATATGGTGTCTAACATACTGTACTTGTAGAAATCAGGAAACAAAGAAAGAATAGGAAGAAAGAGGGGGAGGTTACCTTAGAAAAGGGGAAGTAGAACAGAGGTGGTTTTTTGTGTTTTTGTTTTTGTGTTTGGTTTTTTGTAATGAAGGAAAATACTGTTGTTAGAAATGTTTATGGAAGGGGGGGAGGATTAGGAAGATCAGGGTTTGGGATCCCTGAATATTAACTGGGATGAACAGAGAATAATGAAGCAACTTGGAAAACAAGATGTGGCCACCTTTGCAATACCGACTTTCTATTGGGGGGGGGTGCAAGATATAGGTAGACAGTTGTCTTCTGAGTGGATTTAAGACCAATTCCACAGAATCCCAGGACTGAATGCTAGTACTGTAATCTGGCTAATTACCTAGGTCTGAGGATGTTGTAGGCCGGTTTGTTGAGTGTGCGTCTTCTGATGGGCAATTAAACTAACATAGCCACAAACGTCAAAGTACCTCTTCTTACACCCAGAGACAAAAGCAGCCCCTTATTCTAAGCAGAGAGCCTTTTCTTTTGCATGCAGACCCTCACAGCTGCTGAAGATATAGAGAGTAAGCTCTGGGTGTGGTCCTAACCCTAAACAAGTACTTCATACCACCTTCTATAAGGCTCAGGGAACCTTGTGGAAGAGAAGGGAGGACGAGTTTAAAAGCTAGAAAATAGGGTAAAGTCTACAAATTCCCACTCTAAGCTGCATACAAATATTATAGTCATTACCTCACATCAACTGACGTGAACTGCACTTAACGCCACAAGACCAGACATATCAACAGTCAGCCAAGGACTGAGGAGAGACATGCTCTTCTCTTTACTTCTGAACTATTGCCTGTGCTTAGATTCCGGCAGGTATTGCAGCCTTAGTTTCAAAAAAAAAAAAAATTCAGCTTTAGTATCAGGTGACATTCAATGAACAAAAGCATCAGTTTTCACCTGCCTGCAATATGTGGAAGTATTTTTGCCTTCTTAAGCAAACCGCTTACATGTAAGGTGCATCTAAAATGGAACTTTGTGAAGAACTCTCATTCCCTTTCATCTCCTGCAAAACTGTTCAATTTTTTGGGGGGGGGGAGCCAGGAGGGTCACGTCACAAAATTAGCTCAGCCAAGTGAAATAGGCTGTCTCTTATCGCAGGAAGATGAGTTACAGAAGAGCTTCTTTAAACTTCCTCCCCTCTCTGAGAGCTGTCAGTAGCATTGTGCCTGCCAGCTCGCTTCGATTCCAAGAACCAACTGAGCAGCAACTTAACACTAGAAGCTTACTAATTAATGCGTGTTCCTCTGGGCCCCCAGTCTATTCAGATAGGCCTCTGATCTGAAAGAAATAAAATGAAATAAGGTAAAATGAAAGATACATTACCAAACTATTTTTATTCTTGGGAATTCAAATAAAGTTAGCTTACTTAAACCGTTAATGTTTGGGGGATTGGATAAGTTTTGTTTGTTTTCTGTTTCCGTTTATTAGAACTACAGGTAGGCCCAGGCTACAGCGTGGCTACAATTAAGAACCAGGTTAAATTTACCCCTGTGCCTTGACCAATTAGCTTTAACGTATTTCTTCCTCAGCTCTTAACTATGTTTGCTGAGACACCACAAGATACATTCTTCTTCATCTGAAATGTCCACACTTTCCAAAAGTAAAGCTTTCTAACCCATTTGCTTCTGGTCCTAGTATACCCCTGTATCGAACTGCTATTGTCCAGTGACAATGAACAGGAGGGCTTCTCTGGAGATTTTTAAGCACATGAAATATAATACATAAGACAGCAACAGAAACTTCTGATGATTAGAATTCAAAGATGAGTAACATTTTTAAGCTATATTATTTCAGCTACCAGCAACAATGGTGAATATGTGAGTATGTTTTTTTTCACAATATCAGAATGTATTGAATAACAGTAAGCACACAAGGTATGGCAACTTCGGTGAAAGCATTGTGTTAGATAGTCTCACTTTTCTTGGTATCCCTGGCCAGGGTAGATGTCAGGCTTTTTAATTACAATCTGATTGAATAATATTAATCCACAGATGATAAAGTATGCACTACACAGGAAATGCAAGTGTGACTTTAGTGGGATCAAGGGTATCACAAAATGACTCTAAAGGATTAATAGGCTAGAAAAAAGTTTAAGAGGTTTCAGAAATTCAGAGAAACTGAGATGCTGATACAAATACAATGAAGTGGATTCCATAAAACCAAGAGAGGAGCATAGTTGAGGTCTTTCTAGAGAAGTCTTGACTGTTCTTTGGAAGTCAGGCTTGGGGTCAGAAATGAGCTTCAGGAGAGAGACTCAGCCAAGAGTAGGGCTAGATCCGGGTGAGTGAATGGCTTATGAGCAGCAGGTCCAGATGGCTGAACTGGACAAACAGAAGGCCATTTGAGTAGGCAGTAACAGCAGCGGGCACTGAGCCAAGCTGAAGGCTCAGTGGCTATCAAGAGCTCTCTTCTTGTGGAGCCTGTGACATACTGGGCAGTCAGATAACAGGTTAGTAAACAGCCTTCATCACTGTCATTTCCATTTCAGGTGTCCTTCTCTCAAAGGAGTCCCAATGAGGGAGTGCTGCCCTTTCCTTCATGTATGTCTAAGTTCTCAAGCTGACTTTGCTGATATAATTGCAATATATCCATGTATCTCTGCAGTATTAATTTACACAAATAAACTATAGCATGAATTCCTTTATAGTTTCTGGAATAAATCTTTGTTTGTTTGTTTGTTTGAGGAGGGTTTAGGGTTTTGTGGGTTTTTATTTTTTATTTTTGAGACAGAATTTCTCTGTAGCTTGGAAGACTGTCCTGGAAATAGCTCTTGTAGACCAGCCTTGCCACAGACTCACAGACATCTGCTTGCCTCTGCCTCCCGCGTGCTGGGATTAAAGGCATGCACCATCACTGCCCAGCTTTGCGATAAATCTTTTCTGAGTCTGTGCTCAGTGTGTGGTACCAAGGAGGTGGTATTGCTCATATGTCACAGGAAGAAAGCATCTTCCAGTCTCAAAATGTAGTCTTTCAAAGCAAGGAACAGCCTGAAAAGTATTATTTCACACAATACAGAATAAGTTAGGACATAGACTAAACTCAGTGAATAATAGTCTGAGCATTTACTAAATTTCTTCTGTATATATTGTAAAATGATAAGGTTTTATTTACCTTATTTTTTGAAGCCTCAGAACATTCTGTTATGATACATTCATCACCGCCATCACCATCATCATCTTAATTTTACCTTTAAAAAGAGAAAAATAATTCCCAAAGAGCAAGGTCACCTATTAAAGTAGGCCATGTGGAGGAGAATTGAACTTCACATGTGTCTCCAAAGCTTGAGTCCTAAAGTCCTATGCTAAGCTATGTACACCATGGTGAAGAAAACATGCTTATGTGTCCAAAATTTGATTAAAAAGACTAGAGAGAAGAAGAAGAAGAAGAAGAAGAAGAAGAAGAAGAAGAAGAAGAAGAAGAAGAAGAAGAAGAAGAAGAAGAAGAAGAAGAAGAAGAAGAAGAAGAAGAAGAAGAAGAAGAAATAATAGAAAGGATTCAACAGCTGAAAGCTCAGCAAAATGATGAAAGGACAGTTCATGTCAAAACCTTGATTTAAATCCCATGATAGGGGGGTCAATGACATCATTTTAAATTTTACAGTCAGTTCAGTCCAAGGACCCCAGAAGGTTTGAGATAGATATCTTACACTCGCTTTACAAAACCTTGCTTTAACAACATTAATTGTAAAAACAGTTCTGCAGGTGTTTGGCAGCTGCTCCTTTTCACAGCTGGCAGCTTAAGTTGGCAAAGAACAGAGTACTTTCGTATAATGGCTAGTATCTGTGAGCTCTTGACGTATCATTTTAGTTGGCTTATCCATTGGTCTTAAGCTTCGTCTTAACACAAATTTGGTGCAATAAAAATGTACAGTGATAAGAAATTCTTCGTTTGTTTCAAGTATCATACGAAGTGTTGTGTGCATTATCTTAAGAACCATTCACTGAAACATTATTTTAAAAGCACTATCATTTTTCAGATTTTAAAATGGGAATACTGTAGCTTTAGTTAATTTTTCCAAGGACACTTACCTACTAAGTAGGTAATTAAATTTGAACTCAAGTTGATACAGAACAATTGTGAGCTACTTTAAGAATCTGATGTATTAAGAATAAAAAGTTAGAAAATTATACACTTATAATATCAGAAAACATTCAGCTATTGAAAAACTTCTGAAGGCCTTCTAAAAGACTGTTGAATGCAGACTGCTAAGGCTGATACAGAGAGCAAGATGATGAGCTGAAAATGTTTCTCACAAGTGACGATTGCACTTTCCCATGGGTACAATGAATAGGCAAACAGCAGAACTAGTAAGATAAACTCTGTAGAGCCATGGTACAGCAAAGGGATAGAATCCAAATTTAACTCAACAGAGAAAATACCTAGGCAGAATCCCAAAAGAGATGTGATAGACTATGGTAGATTAAAGGGAAAGTGCTGTTGGATTTTCTTTGACTACGCTGAAACATCAAAATGTTGTAGTTTAGTTTTTACTCATTTTACTCTTTACCCTTTGGAGAGCTCACCGCCCAGCTCCCAAATAAATCGAACACAGAGAGACTTTTTCTCTCTTCTAAATGCCTGGCCTTATCTTGGCTTGTTTGTAACCATCTTTTCTTAAATTATCCTATCTACCTTTTGCTCTGGGCTTCTTCTTACTTCTTTAATCTCACTTGCACTCTTACGCCATGACTGTCTGTGTGACTGCCTGATTGGCCTCTTTTATTTCTCGCCCTTTAATCTCTCTTGATCCTGCTTCTTCCCAGACTTCTCATATTTATTCTAACTGCCAGCCCCTTCCATCCTTTTGTCCTTCCTCACTATTGACTTTCCAGCTATTTATTAGACCCTCGGAAGTTTTAGATAGGGAAAAAAAAAAAAAAACACAGCTTTACAAAGTTAAACATGTGCAAGAACAACAAAAAATGCAACACATCTTTGTATCATTAAAACAAATGTTCCGCAGCATAAACAAATGTAACACATCTTAAAATAATTTTCCACAACAAGAAAGATGTTCTACATAAAAAGGAGTGTGAAGACATGAAAACGAGAGAAAGGGGCCTCATTCTCAGAAGTAAGGAAGGTTGAGCATATGAATAGCCTCAGAAAGGGCTGAGAAATAGCCTTTGAATGTCAGGCAAATGAGATGATGATAAAGATCACTCAAGCTGCTAAAGAACGTGATGGAATTCGGGAACAACTGTGATTTGAGATTTTGGATAAAGAAATTATTAGGAGATTCACAGTAGTCCTTGGAAGATATAGTAGAACCTTAACCCAGATGGTTGACAAAGGGCAGTATCATAAGGAAAAATTTACTTTTTCTTTTCTTAATTATATAGGGTTGATTTAGTCAGGCATAATCAGTCTGTGAGTTGTCATTTGTTTTTAATAAAGTAATGTGATGATTCAATATAGTATACCTAATAATTTTGGTGAAATCTTTATGTATAATGAAGCTTTTAGAAGTTTAAACAGCACTACTTTATTGACAGTTTAAAGAGACTTTCTTTTTTTAAAATATTTATTTTTGCCTTTTGGCTCCTCGGCCATCAGTGAGGCAACACGGGTCACCAGCAGCTCTACTGGGGTCACCTGCGGAAGTTCGGCCAGGGATCCCGCTCCTGCCGCGGCTGCTCAAACCACCATGGTCTGATCCGGAAATACTGGCTAAACATGTGCCGCCAGTGTTTCCGGCAGTACGCGAAAGACATCGGCTTCATTAAGTTGGACTAAGCAACCTTGAATGGATTCTTCTAGACTCTACCCAGTGGAAAAGATGAACGTCAGTCTTTGTACATAAGAATAAAACAAAGTGGACACCTAGCAGCAAGGAGTTCCGTTCCAGGCACCAGGAGAGACATCTCTGGGGTGAGTGAGTTTCTGACCGCGGCAGCAGCCCGGGACAGGGGACTCAGACACCCCTCCTACACTTCCTGGTCATCCTCAGGGGCTACTCTGCCCGATACTTCCTCTCTCTTCCTATCCCACCCAGCTTGCATCCACAACCCTCCCCGCCCCCTCCGTCTGACTCCCTTCCCTCTTTGACCACATAACATCTCCCAGCCCAGCCTGTTCGGGCTCTAGGACCGAATCCGAATCGGC